GAATTTTTACACGAAGATAGAAGGAGGCTGCATGAAATGGACTAAAAACTAAATGCAATCATACAAACGTTTGTTTTATTTCTTGTATAGCGACAATATGAATATGTCATACTATAAATTAAATATTGATTGTTGGTCATAGAACACTGCTAGTGCTATTACTGCATGCTTTTGCTTTGCTTTAATCTTCAAAGTCTCTCCCCCCCCCCCTGTTGCCTTGCCACGCCAGATTTGTACGGAATGTTTTGAAAGACTCGTTAGCAACATTTTCCAGTGTGATAAAATGCTGCATTTTTTCTATTTTGTTTACTTATTTATTTTGATGCCCTTAACAAAGGGTTAAATTTGTTATTAGCTAGTGGAATGAAAATGGCTTGGATGGAAGAATAATAACGAGGCTGAATTGTTGACAACCGACAGGGGATGACAAAATGGCGCCGAATTGGACAAAGTTGTGGTGGTTTTACCTTGTCGATGGTTAAACATGCAGCTAGGATCTGCTCGAAACCTATTTAAAACTTGTTTAAAATATGCTTTATACAATTATGTCTGAGCTTGCCGTACATATTCGGAAGAATTTCAACGAGATTGGCGATAAATAGTAAATTGGAGAATTTGGCCAAATACGTCCATTTGCAGAAGGTAGGTACATTTCAAATTATTATTTCGGTCACAAAGTATTAACTATTTTACAGCAAGGCAGTGATAATATACTTAAATAAGTACCGATTATGTTTCTATAAAATAGATTTAGGAAAAAAGGTAATGTAGGTCCACTGCTGTTTATCTGAATTTGTAAGTCACAAATTGTTGTTTGACTATGAGTATCGCATGGTCATTTTCTTGTGAAATATCAGTGCTAGGCATTTCACACTTACTAATGACCATCACTAAAAGCACCATCTCTGAACCATATAACCACCTCAGGATAGCCAAAGTTTTATAGTTTGGTAGATAGCACGTACCATGGCGAGAGCGTCGTTTTTGGGTCTGGTCAGTTTCGGACGTTTCGCCACGGATTGGGGTTCGGGCAGCGTTACCATGTCGACCGTCATGGTCAACTTTCCCTAAAACACTTGAGATTGTCTGTCCTTAATGAAATGCATAGTACAAACTCACACACAAGTCCGAACTTTTACCAAAAAATGTGATCGAAATAAGAGAAAGAAATAGCAGAACAAATGGAGATGAAATGTATAACTTCTTTTGCTAAACTGAACGGCTTAGAAAAAGTCCTTTAATTTATGCAATTATAATGAGTGCAATTTAAATTTGATAGATAGAACTTTTTAATAAATATATATCAGGTCATTTTAATAAACACATAGGGTAATTGAGGTAAATAATTAAGGTTACAGTGCACCTTTTTGGCGTTTTGCGGAAAATCGCTACTGTGCGCTCAATATCAGTCGATTTTAATCAAATTTTCACCAAATGTTCGCCAGTGCATGCAAAATATGGTAAAGTTGTTACGTTACGCTTTTGAGTTGTTCTGCTGCTGGGTTTAAGATTTAGAAAATATCATTTTTATACAGTAAAATAGTTGTTCTAAAAAATTGTGTTCGGAAATTTTTGTTTATTTTGTCATTTCGCTGATATGGCGACTTCTTTGACGACTGCAATATATTTCTGAATTGTTTGAGTGAATTGCTCTTTATTATTAAAATATCCAAAATTAAAAAAAAAGCCGAAAATGTACTCCAAGATCATGACACGATATTATTTTTATATAACAGAGCGGCGGATTTAAACAAAAAATATTTAGTTAAAATAAATGAGAAAACAAGATATATAAATTCTCTTGAACAAAAGCTAATTAAAGTCGAGGAAGAAAGAGACTCTCTACAGCTCGCGACATGAATTAAGGCTTATTGCACAAGACAAACTTTGTCAACATAGGCCGCGTAATAGTGTCGGTTGCCAGTGCTGCAAAAGCAACCCTGTACCATGGCAAAAAATTCCTAGTAATAGTAATGAAAAATTTCATGAAACTAACAGTGTAAGTCAACCACAAACAACGTATAATAGATATGAATGTCTAATTGTGAGGACGAAATTGCTGAAGTCGTTTAGCCGGAACAATCGTCACAATGCACTCCTGGGCACACGAACCATCCCACAGGTAATGTTTATCAAAATCCCACTCGCCTTGGAGATCAAAGTGCAAAACTGTGTGTTGTCTTAATCGGCGACTCTATCATAAAAAACATCAGTTTCGATAGCGAGTCAGTTTCAACAAATTCAACTTTATTTCTGCCTGATTTTAACCTATCGAATTTAAAGAGCCTGAAGATTGCAAATTTAAACATTAATTGTCTTTTAAAACATATCGATGGGGATTCGTATCTTGCTGTCTGATAACCCTTTTGACATTTTGGCCACTGATGAGACTGAAATCGACTCCTCAATTTTGGATGCAGAAATTCGTATTGATAATTATGATACAATTGTTCGTTTTGATCGTAATAGATTTGGGGGTGGTTCTATATATAAAATATAATATACCATAAACTGAGAGAAAAGATTTAGTTCCTGATAATTTAGAAATGACATGTGTGGAGATTGCTAGGCAACAAGTAAGCCTTTTTTAATTGCTACCTGGTATCGACCACCTAATTCAGAGCTCGACATATTTACCAACTTTGAATTTTATTCTTTCTTTTTAAGTGCGATATGGAAAATAAGGAATTAATCTTAGTTGGGATCTAAACCGCGACGTTAACAAACTAGCTTTAGATTCACAAACTCATAAACTGCAAACTTTATGCTCTTTATATCAATTAACTCAAATTATTAATGAACCTACGGGAATTACAGAGACAACATCCACACTGATAGACTTAATACTTACAAATAAACCTGAGTATATTTCCACTGTTGGTGTTTTACACCTTGATATATCCGATCATAGCTTAGTGTATGCTGTAAGGAAATTTGAATTACCTAAATCTAGACCAACTATAAAGAAGTCCGCGATTTCAAACACTTTTCTGAATCCTAATTCCGCGCTTATTTACTGCAGTACCCTGGGATACGATTTGCTACGATGATTCCAATACATGCTGGAATGTATGGAAATCAATTTTTTACGAGATTTTAAATAAACATGCACTTGTACGCCAAAGGAGAACTAAAGCTAACTCGGTCCCATGGATTACACCTGCTATTAAACAACTAATGAGGAATA